CCGAACTGCCATGAGGCGGGCCAGTTCGAGTCACTGCTTTGTGTGGCTCGGGGCCTAAGGGAGAGTCCGAGCTCCTCCTAGGGAGTTCGGATAGGGGAGTATCCCGAACTGCTATGAGGCGGGTCAGTTCGGGTCACTGCTTTGTGTGGCTCGGGGCCTAAGGGAGAGTTTGAGCTCCTCGTAGGGAGTTCGGTCTCCTGGAAGGGAGTTCGGTCTCCTCGAGGGGAGTTCGGACTGCGGGTTTCTTCCCTTTGATGTTTGTGCCCTGAGTTCGCTGCTTTAAGTGCCGAGCTATTTGTTTTTCGCCACGTGGCGTGATTGCGAAGTCGGGCCAAATCTTCCTTCATCATAATCAATTAATCAATTCGATTCGTTTAGCTTTAACAGAATATTCGAATCCATTGTAAATTTATAATCGAATTGAATCACGAATAGAATCAGATCATTTGCATCGAATCCACATTTGAAGGTTGTTTCTCATAGGCTCCGCACAGGTTACCAGAACCTTATCAATATGTATGGATCGTGTAAGGATATGTTTGGTTTGAACTTTGGAGGGAAAAGGTTGGGAAAAGAAAGGAAAAGTAGGGAAACATATACAATTTTTGTAAAGGTGGAGATGGACCTACTAAACGTAGACCATTTCCTGAATTAGGCAAAAGATACAATTGCTAGCATGAGATAAGGATAGGAACCGTAGACGGGGTGTCAATTGAAGCAGATCTGGTCCAATATGAATCCATTACAAATATATTAGATGTGATCCAATCCAATCTGATGAGTATTTTGGACCATTTAGATCAATCCAATTCAATGTCCGGACCGTGTTATCTGTTAAAATTTGTTTTAATTTAGATTAATTCCAACTCAAACCTGATCCATTAACACTTCTTAATGAACTAGATATTGGTTCAATCCAGCCCAATCCAATATAAATCTATTATGGATGGACTATATCCAATCCAATCCAATAAATATTTTAGACCATCAAGTTTGGACTGGTTCAGTTCAATATATCTTATTGGTCCATCCAATTAGTTTAAATTGATTTTGATTTAGACGGGTCGAACCCAAGGTTCAAAATATCGATATTCCTGATACGTTGGTAGGGGAGTATCGGGCTATATCAATACTATTTTTTTACTTTCTTTATTTTTTTTTAAAACCAGTTCAGGAGATCAGTTTAAGGCTCCTCCACCCCCTGAACTGGTCAGAACCCCGATATATTCTATGTAGGGACATATCGGAGAGCTCTCGAAATGATATATATCAACCGATACGAGTCAATATGTATCGATACTTTAAACCTTGATCAAACCCAAAACCAGTCCTCTACCTAGACCCATCGTGAAGAGGGAATATCATTTACAGTTTACACTAATTGGGTACGTAATTCCTAACATCTAGATAAAGGGATTCAATCCATGAAGATTGAACACCACACACAATTTGGATTTTGGAAAGCCCACTGATTGTAAGGCTGAGATATGGTCAAGCAGGTTGAACCATGGCTACCCGGCCGTGGTCAATTCAGATCAAAATAACCTTTTGTGTATATAATTCCAACCATCCAATTTAGTAGAAAGAGTTGAATCGGTAGACAGTGGATTGACATCATTTCAGGAAAGGGACCTACGTTTAATTAATTCACATTGACCAAACTACAGCATTTCAGAAACCAAAGATTTTAGATCATTCCTCTGATTGATATAGCGAACTGACCAAGCAAAGGATCGGGCTGAAAGGGAAGAGGAGGATGAGTGGACTCAAAGGAATGATTTTGATGACCAGTTGCAACTAGGAAGCAGCAGGAGAAAAAAAAAAAAAAAGAAAAAAACAGACCATTTACAGTTAGCACTTAGCAGAACAGATGGGGGATGGGATAGAACAGATAGAACATGATAATGGGCCAGTCACCAGTAGGACCTACATGGTGGTGGGACCCCCCTAGTCTTCAAAATCATTCTCTTCCTTTTCTTGTTTTTTTGGCCAGGACTCTACTCAATAATAATAATAATCACTAAATTACCCTTTTATGTTAATGAAAAAGAAAAGAATGAAGGAAAGAATGTTTCTGCTTTACTAGTTATTTTATTTACATCCCAGTGATGGAAAGGACATTAGAATTTAGACAGCGAATCGCATAACGAACTAGTGGGCCCCATTCGACCCCGGAAGTTTTACTCTCAAGCGAAGTTGACTGTCTACCGTACACGTGCCCCTTCCCCTTAACTATTCCTCACGTTTGCTAACTGTCATCCATCATACTTGTTCAGATTCGCACGGTGAAGATTCCTATTAATATACTGCAGTAAGAACTAAAGCTTTGTTTGGTTTGAAGAGGCAGTAGCGATTCCCTATCTTTTCCTTCAAACCAGCGATTCCCTACCTTTTCCTTAACTATTATTCCTTTTTGTCTCGGGTAAGACCCCCTTGTACTATGGGGTCAGCGATGAAGTCCCCCTGTACTTTTTTTGTGATAGAGTCCCCCTGAACTTTAGCTGTTAAACAAAGACCCCCTTAGCTGTTAAGTTAGACGATGGAAAGCATTAAATTATCAAAATACCCAATTAAACTTTTTCTATTTTCTTTTTTTTTTGCCCTTTTTTCTTAAAACCTATTTAACCTATTGTTTTCTTTCTTTTTGAGTTTTACTTCACATACCATGATTATGCCTTTGATATTTTCCTTCTTACCGAAGCTGCCTGGACTTTTTCCCTCTTTTTCAATTCTTTTTTTTCCTATTAGTGCTTTTCTTGCGAAAAAAAAACAGAGGAAGGAGGAATCCGGCTTTAGTCAAGATCAAGGCCATAATCATGGTATGTGAAGTGAAACTCAAAAAGAAGGAAAACAATAGGTTTTAAGAGAAAAGAGCAAAAAAAAAAAAAATAGAAAATAGAAAAAGTTTAGTGGGGTATATTGGTAATTCAGTGCTTTTTGTCATCTGACTTAACGGCCAAGGGAGGTCTTTGTCTAATGGCTAAAATTCAGGGGGGTCTTTGTCGCAAAAAAAAGTACAGGGGGGACTTTGCCACTGACCCCATAATACAAGGGGGTCTTTGTAATTTACCCTTTTTTTTCATGGGGCTACACTACACAACGGGGTACAACCCCAAAATCATAACCTCCCAATCCTGGAGTTGGATACAAGTCTCCACTACAACCAGCCAGAGACCTTACTAATTAGCCAGTTGGAATCTTGGCTCTAGTGTCTTTGATTTGAATTTATCTTGTGTCATGGTCATGGCAACCATATTGTTCTGATTAAATGAGTTCACATCTCCCCACAAGGGGCTGCCCCACAAAGTCCCACAGTATATTTTCGCCGTGTATTGAGAACATATTTCGATGATTGTATCAGAACCGATAATATCATCATTGGAAGATGTTCCCAATACACGGCGGGGATATGATGTAGGGCGGCTCCTTGTGGGGAGATGTGATCTGATTAATGGCCCTTGGCTGAAGATACACCCTACTGACAGTTGGGGTGCCGTGTTTGATGAAATGACAATGGAGGGTGACAAACAGTGGCGAATCATCAACAAGCGTCAGTTTTGTCTTAATCATTAACTGGACCAAAACCCATTGTCTCTAGGAATCATGTAAAGGGTACAAATTTCATTACTAGATGCAAATGTCGATTGATTGATAGACTTGAAACCCAAAGACATGCATTAGGTGTAACGACCCAAGATGGCTAACTAAGACAAGGAGTGCCTTTGAAGCATCTTTTCTATTTATGGGTATAGGACTTTAGGCCGTTTGACGAATATCTATTTTTTTTTTCAATTTAATTACTGAGAAAATGGCATTCTAAAATATTAACCCCCTCACAAAGTGAGAGGTCAAAAATAAAGCACACAAATTGTTTGAATGAACAGAGGAAGGTATTGATTCGAGAAAACCTAACCTTATCTTCATCTCCTACGCTAATAGACCATCAAATTCTAGCAAATGCGTTTGGAGGCTCGGTCAAGTGGCTGCAAGATTTGTGGTAATAAACGATCTGAACATTTCTGAAATTGACAGTCACTAACAAAGATTTAGATAACACTTACTTTTCCAAGCTTTGCAAATGGTGATCCTGAATCCTAACTAGGGCAAAACAGTATATATTCGCAACTGCCTGTGCAGATGTTATAGATCGCCAAACTCCAATTCTGTGGAAGAACACAGCGTTGGTATGGTCGGCAATTAGAATGCTGTTATTAACATTAAACACTGAATGCTATGATGTGCCCTGACTTCAATGCAGGCACAGCAGATGCAAACCAAGACAAGAATTACCTTCCACCCATAAAGAATTAAGGCCAAGGGATACAGTAGTGCAATATGTGGGGTGGGTAATGAATTCCCACGAGGGGGCATTATGACCCAAGCTTGACAGAATAGAGACAGCTAGTGTCTGAAAGCAGTTTCCTTTGAAATGGTTTTAAGGCTTAATGATATTGAGACTATTACAAGCCTACCAATTTGCATACCATCCTCGGCCAATAAATGGCCAATGACCAAGGATAAATCAAGCTTTGACTGAGAGTGCAGGACCTATGCACCGTTCAGGGAAAGTTTTAGAGTAAAGACATATTTCTAGTAAGAGATTGACCTGTCACAGATGCACCAATATATAAAAGTAACATGCATCTAAGTGATAAAGATCTTGTAATAATACCATCAACATAAAAAATATGAAATCACAAAATGAAATAAATGTAGTACCGCTAAACAGACCAAAGTTACATACACATTGACATTGGTTGTGATAGGTAGAAAAACAAGTGGATTTTAGGCCGCTCTTCATCTGCTGAAAAACAGGTTGCCCAATTCAGGTGGATTTTGCTACAATGGAATAATGAGATATTCATGCAGCATTTTTTACATGCAAACTGCCGCCCACGTTGTAACTGTAATTCATAAAGGGAGGGAACAAATCCATGTTACAAATGTAAAGTATATCACAAATTAGAACCTTTAAGGCAAATGGACCATTAGAATCGCCGAAGATCTTTAGGTGGCTTGAAGTTGACGGGATGAGTTTCTGGGGTGGCATTCTCATCTTCTTTCCACATCTTAATGGTCTTGTCTGCTTCACAAGTAACGAGCCTTGACCCAGTTATATCATAGGAGAGAGCATAGATCCCAGCTTCACTATCCAATGATCCTGTCAAACAAATTTGCATCAGCACCCATCCTCTTCCATAAAAAATGAATCAATTACAACAGCTGTGCATATCAAATGTGACACTTACCGGGTTGGACAATAGTTTGAGCTTGCTGGAAGTTATAACCACTTTTCCAATCCCAGAACCACAAGCTCCCATTGTCACCTTCAAGAAAAAGAAATATTTTCATTAGGAAAGAATAATTTTTAGCATCACCTTTACAGAGGCTCTGCTTCCCATCATTCCGTAAGGACTCCTAAAGTCAAATTGGATAAATGGGAGGAGATAACATTCTTAGTGCAAAGGCAACACATGGAAGGATCTTGTGGGATTAAAAATGACCACCGCAGATTGCCATAGAAGTTCAACCTATAACTATTCGGGATAGTGGGAAAGGAGAAGGCAAATCATTAAAGAGAAGATCAGATTGGGTACTTTATGATCCTCTAATCAGAGTAGGGTTTGGGGAGGGACAGATGTACGCAGCCTTACCCCTGCACATACAGAGGATTTTTCGAAGATTTGAACCCGGGTCACAATGGGACAACCCAACCGCTGCACCAAGGCCCACCCTCAAGTCCGAGGCATCTGCCAAGTGTTATTTACAATATAACC